TGAATGGAAAAATAAAGTGTCCAGGGATGGGAATCGAACCCACAGCGTTTCGCTTACCGAGAAGATGCCATGTCCACTAGGCTTCAATTTAATATATGCATTTTTATTATATAAATATTTAAATATGGATTGCTCTATATTGAGAAAGTGATGATTACAGATTATATTTCTACTTACCTCATACAGTATTGAAAATTATTCTACCCAGTAAAATAAAGTATCAAGGAATGGGAAACACTCTTCACATAATCCTTTCATACTTCATCCCTAAGGTTAGAAATAATTGTTTTTTTCTCCTTAAAATAAATTTCGATTTTTCCTTCAAAATAAACACATGCGGGATAATTTACAAATGTCGTTATACAATCATAATCCACATTATATTGTATTATAAATTACTTAATAGTATGAGGTCTTGGTTCATGAATGATGAATCCTCTCAACGGTTTCGTCAATTTAATCTACCCCAGACCGCCTATTAAAATTCGAATAATGATATTCAATTTAAAAAAATTATTCAAAAAAAAATTTTTTCCTATAGATGGAAGGATAATTTATCCTAGTGAAATAAACTTTGTATAATGGAATTAAGTTCAATAAGGGAGAGACAAATATCAATAAGTTCATATGTCTATTCACATAAGACCTCAAAGATTTACAATATATTTTCTTTAAAAATTGCCAATAGGAATTTTGTCTACCTATAAATTTGTAGCAGCTAGAAAAAATATAATGGTTATAATATATTTATGGCATATAGATTCATTTTCCTTTGAATAAAAAAACTAAATTACTTAATAATGTGAATTAAAAAATGAGTAAATGCTTTGATTAGGAATAATACTGTATATGTCTAGCTTGATATAGTTTTCATGGCTAAAAAAAAACAAGATAATATGCATGTATATAAAATTCCACCGCCACTCTATGTTGTAAAGACGATCTAAGTTCTATAAAGGGAGTCACTCACCTCTATTCTTGGTGGGCGGGGTTGAAGGTTGAGGTGTCGCGGCTTGTACCACTTTTAAAATATACGACGTAAACACACACAGGAGGGAAATTATAAATTAAGAAAATAGTAAAGTATTATTTAATTAATTATATATTTAAATGTATTTACACTATGAGAATCGGGGAATCAGGGCAAATCCTCGCGTTCGAAAGTTGTTTACAAGCTCTTATCTTTTTGTTTCCCTCATTCCAGCCGCTGCATCCCCGTAGCCCCTTCCGTCGGCCTCCCATTGGCCGCCTCGAACTCCTTCTTTTCCAATATAAATTAATAAATAAACATTTTTTATAACCAACGGTGGATGAATTTCTGATTCTGAATCCCTGATAACACTTACACATTCTGTTCTATACAGTATATTCTATATGTAGTTAAGTATAATAGCTAAGATTATTGTTCAAAAATGAATATAATTTACTAAAATTCTAGAAGTGTTTGTAATGTTCCTCATTAACAACTTTACTGTCTATTAGATAAATACCGTTTAACTTATTATTATCTGATACTATTTTTTTTTTACCATTTTAAGACTTACTAAGGTAAGGAAACTTCTTTTATTGAAGTAATTTATAAATATATAACACACGAGATAAATAAATGTAAACAATATTGTATCTGTCTCCTTTAATGAAACTGTTGGATCGTTTTTGAAGACAACTCTCAGATTTATAAAATTATTTTATTAAACTTTGAACATTTTTAGATATAGAGAGAGTTAATTATCTCGTATTAAAGGCAACAAAATAATCATCTAATTTAGATACATCTTTCTAACCAGATTTAACTTATGCAAAACAGACGACAAAGAAAATGAACAAATTAATGGTAGAGGGTAAGTTCCTATTTTTACAAGCTTTCACACTCAAAGAATAATCATTTTCTTGCTTAAGAAACAGATGACAGGCGATTATAAAATATAATACTTTCATATGTTTTGTCCATTAGTGTATTTTTTTATTCACCTTGCAAATATGCATGTATATTCTGAAAAAAAAAATCGAATGAGAAGAAATGATGAATACTATAAAATATTCCATTTGTCAAAAGTAAGTTCATATTTCTAGAACGACATTTTAAAATTATCCTGCATGTGTTTCTTTTGAACGAAAAATCGAAATTTATTTTAAAAAGAAATAACGATTATTTCTAACCTTAAAGGATGAAGTATGAAGTTAATTCTCTTTGAAATAAATTTCGATTTTTCGTTCAGAAATGCAGGATATTTTTCAAATGTCGTTCTACAATTAGAGCTGCATAATATTGTATTATAACTTACTTTATATAATATTCATATTTCTGTTAACTCTATATTCAATAGGTTTTTCACATGTATCAAAAAATTACATTTTAAAATCAAGTTTATAAGAAAATATTAGATAAAAAATATATAATTATCATATTAGAAAAAAAGGAAAAAGAGAGAAAGGATAAAAATAAATATTGATAATGTAACAATGTTAGTAAGAAAAAAACAGCTAAATAAAAAAAGACATCAATAGCTATTGTGCTTACCTATTTGACATTAGTGAAGACCTTTTAAAGAAAGGGGTTGAATGGGTTTCAGTTTATATTCTATACGTTAAGTCAGTCTTGTCAATTATTTTATGGCACAATAGTTTATTTTTAAATAAAAACGTTATCAAAATATATCTTAACGTAATAGCCATTTAGCTATGCGCTATAAAATAGTACAAAAATTAAATTATACTGTCATCATTTTATTTCAACACACAAAACGCGATATCCCGGCTAAGGATAAATGCGTTGATTTACATTTTTTTAAAACAGAAACAGTTATAAACGTATTGTACAAGAAAAGTTAATTAAAAAAAAAAAAAACAATAACATATTTTGGAACCTGAAACTTTCAGGTTAGAAAGATAATCATTAATATATTTACAAAAATAGTTATACCTATGATAATTCTCTCTGCTATTTACAAATTGATATAGTTTTACAACATTATTTATTGTCTGTTGTCTAGCGGTGAAGAAGAGTGGGCATTCCAGCAGTAGGTGTCTCGAGTCCTGGAATTCGTTGCCACAATGACAGCTAGATACTGTGAATAGGTGTATAAATTTAAAAAAAGTTTTATTCATTTCCTGCAACTAAATCTTCTGACGACATGGGCCATCTGTAGGAATAAATACCTAATAATTGTTGATTTTTTAAATATCAGAATGGGTCAAATTCTTGATTATTAAAAAAGGCTAACTAGGTACGTATTTCGGGCTGTTTTTTAAATTTGTGATTATGAAGATTAAATAAAGAAGTGATGACAGGTTGATATATTGATGAAATTATCAATGATTGTAAGTGTAGAGTAGAAATTTCTGAAGGGCGCTAGATTGCCAATTGTCAAGGGTGTGAAGGAAGACGCTAAATAGTACAAAGGTTATATTATACTGTGATCAAGTGGATAAATTGAAAATAATACTTCTTCAGTTCCTGAAACTAAAGTTTCTGACAACATGCCTCATCTGTCGAAATTAATATCAATTAATCGTTGTTTTTTAATTATTACAGAATGAGTCAAATACCTATTCTTGATTAATCAAGAAAACCTAACTAAGTACGCTTTTCGTTTTTTTTTATATTTATGATTATGAAGATATAATAAAGAAGTGATGACAGGTTGATATATTGATAAAACTATCATTAATTGTAAGTGTAGAGTAGAAATTTCGGAGGGGCGCTGGATTGCCAATTGTCTAGGGTGTAAAGGAAGACGCCCATGTACAAATTATTAATGAGAGAACTGCGTTCAATTCTTGTTGTGTCAATAATTTGTCCTGTCGTGATTTATAGACTTCCTCTCGAGGTATTAATATCGGCACTAGACATGTGATAAATTATGTCATTTCTTGCAACATTGATGAGAGAAAGATAATTTGAGTTTTTACAACTGAAACGATTTTTTGTTCTGTTGAAATCTGTTAAATGATACAGAAAAATAAAAAACGTTTTGAAACAATTGTAACTCCTGATATCTTCTGAAAATGGCAATTTATTATATATTATGAGGCATTAGCGCGCCATCTGTTATGAAAATTCGAAACTTTTATAGACGTGAACGATTCTTTTAAAAAATTTCCATTGCAGTAAGGACAGTTAAAATTTAATTTTTAAAATAATCATACGCGTCTATAATAGTTTAGAATATTTATATATCTTGGTATATCATCCAAATTGGATAGCAGTCCCGCAAATAAAGATATTTCCATTATAAATTTTCTAAAAAAAAAAAAATTTCTTCTTTTTTCGTGCAACTGGAGGTTTTTGAAAGCTGCATAAATAAATATCATTTAATCTTTGATTTAATTACTCGAGAATTATTGTTGAATTTAAATTAATCCAGACTTAATGTAGAAAGTGTATTTTGACAATTCTCTGGAATAATTTCAAAAAGCAACGATTAGTTATATTTATTCTGTTAGAAGCTCATATAAGCGGTCACAAAATATAATTATAGTTTTTAATATATGATATTTAAAAAAAAAAAAAAAACATGATGCCAAAATATAATTATTACAAATATTAACGATAACTGGCAATTAAATTTTAAATATAAATCTATGTTGAAAATCGAGCAATCCATTTTAAATACTTTGAATCATTAACGCTTATTTTGGATCAAATTATTCATTGTAAATTCCAATATTTCGATGAGTCTGTTCGCCTATCTTCCTCAGGGGATTCTAACCCTGTAAACAAATCATTACAAACAAGTTTTATTCAAAACTTCACCTCTCATGCATCACGTGGATGTTTACAAGGTTAGAATCCTCGAGGAAGATAGGCGAACACCCTCATCGAAATATTGGATTTATAATAAATAATTTGAAACAAAATAAGTGTCAATAATTCAAATTTTCGTTGGAAAGAAACACATACGGGATAATTTTCGAATGTCGTTTTACAATCACACGCCGCATTATATTATATTGTATTATACATTTCTTTATGTATTATTTACGAACGGAAAAATATGTCCAGGGTAGCCTAGTGGACATGGCATCTGCCTGGTAAGCGGAACAGAGTAGGTTCCATTCCCATCCCTGAACACTTTTATTTTCCCGTTTATCATTAATTTTCACAATTCATCCTTTCATACTTCATCCCTAAGGTTAGAAATAGTCGTTATTTCTCCTTAAAATAAATTTTGATTTTTCGTTGGAAAGAAACACATGCTGGATAATTTTCGAATGTCGTTTTATGAATCTATATTTAACTAGAGAAAAGAGAAAAAAAAGACTTTCAATCCAGAAATTATGATGGGAAACTGTTGTACATTCAAGTTTCAAAGTGTTCACTCAATTATCCAGAACAAATTAACTCAGGCGTGAAAGAGAAATGAGGTTAAAGGGGAGACAGATAAAAAAAAAACAAAATCGTGAAGAGGACCGCCAAACAGAACCGGTCTTCAATAAACTTTGAAAAAAAAAACACACAATACACTTTATCAATCAGAATTCATCAAGAGTTATACAATAATTTGAAGGTCATCTTAAGATAACATCTTTCTAACTTCTTCTAATTTTTTTTTCCAACTTTTTTATAAAATTTAATTTGTGTGTCATCACTTCTGTCATAGATGGAAGATTAAATCTAATTCTATCAACACGATTTTATTGTTTCAAGTTTCATGGGATTGGGTGACTTTTTAAATTGGATTTATGACATCCGTATAAGAAAGAAGTAGCATTCTTCTTTTTTATAAATCTTTCATTTTCTTAAGAATTTTGATAATGTGTTGAATTTTGCCATGTATCTTTAGAGAAACTTATAATTGATAATTAGAAATTGAAATTAATATAGACGTGTATGGTACTTTATAAAATAAAACAATTTCTACTGTCCTTACTGCAATGGAAAAATTGATGGGAGGGCCTTGTTGATCAGTAGTTAACCCTCCCAGCGATTTTGACAGTTTAATCTACCATATGTTATTCTATATACAGTTACGAGCGTCATTCTTCATCTCTTAATCAGTCATCTCTGTCACCGTTTGCTTTTTTTTTTTTTGGAATGGCGCCCTCCTATTGGTTGGCTACGATCACGCCACCTTTGCCCCCCCCCCCCACTCGCTTTTTCGTTTTTGTAACCATTGTGTTGGAGCGGGTCGCTCCTTAAATAAATGCATATATTAGTTAATAACCAAATGGAATCCTCTCTTTTTTTTTCCCAGAAAGAGACGCCTACGGAAGCCAACAGTACATAGACAAATAAAACACATAGGCTATAGTTATTAACTAACATATGCATTTTATATAAGGCGCCAATTTATAATTGTAACAAATAGTATTTGAATAAAAACATTCAATCGGGTAAAACACGGGCGTTGCCCGGGTCATTCGGCTAGTATTGCATATTCAGAACTTACCTTTATAGTGATACTGTTGCTAGATCCTTGGAATAAGTATTTTAGATGAAATATGGATATGAGCTTTGAGGACAGAATAATTACATATAATTATAAGTATATAAGATTATATTAAATAATTAAAATAAAAAAATTGAAATTTTGATTGAAAATATAATATATATAATTATAAATGTATAAAAGAATCATACGCGTCTATAATAGTTTCAAATTTTGATAACAGATGGCACCCAAATGCATCTAATATAATTGTTAATAACATAACTTTTTTTCACACTCATGCACATTGAAAAATTATATACTATTTATATGCAAAGTCGTTCAGTTTATCCAACGATAACTCCAAAATAGAAGGGGAGAATCGAGAGAAATGTTCAATGATAACATTCTGCAAAATCTTCTGCACCAGAATTTGACAGGAGAGAATATTAAATTTGACATCCCTGCTAAGTTTATTGTTCCATCATTGAAATATTTAAACAATTTTGACCAGGAAAGTTTAGAATAATTAATCGTAGGCAATTAATTATTGTCAGAATCTTTTGTTAATGAGAAAATTCATAGCCATGTCTCTCTCTATAAATTTAATTTACTGGAGATAATTATTGAAAGTGAGAATTTATAAAAATTGAAACATGATACAATGAATAATTAAATTATAAAATATTAATAAATTCATTACATTATTTTAACACTCTATGAATATTCATATTTCAATGTTATCTATTTTCTGTACACACACACACACATATATATATATATATATATATATATATATTAAAAATAAAGAGAGCATATATATCGTATATTTTAAACTGTATGACACTTTTAGTATATGCCACATATCTTCCAATTAGTTAGAGCCGATTTCTCAAAAGATCCTATCCTTCTATTGAAATGTACACTATTTCTATTTGCTACCACCCCCATATTTTGTATATATGCTATATCGTTATTAATAATACCTGTACACCCTTATTTGTATTTAAACTAAAATTGGTGACGTCAAAATAAATATCCAAAGAGTGGTCTGTCAACTGGTGGCAGAGACAGAGGGGAGGAAAAAGGCAACGCCCAGCCATGTGGGGCCCCCAGGGACTCTTCATAGACGACCCCTGTAAACAGGACAAGTTTTGGCAGGGAGTCAGCAGCAGATGGTTCTAGGGTGTGTTTCTCGGCAGGCCGCTTCAGTCGCTCTCTCCATGTCTCGGGGATAAGCATCCAAGTTTGTATCATGGCCTCTACCTCTGTCCCGTGGGCTGTCCCCGATCACTCTCTGTGCTAACATCCAGCCCGCCTGTGCTTCTTGTTGTCCGCGTGTGGGAAGAACATAAACACTCGCCTCACGTACACGACTGCGAGCTTATCCATTCGTAGGCACATTTTCAACAATATTACATATATATGAAAGAATAGTACAAATGTGACATTGTACTGGGATAAGGTGCATAAATTATGAAAAAAGGCTTCTCCTTATCGTGCAACTGAAAGTTGATGATGGCTTGCGCCATCAGCGGTCTGTGTAGCGGTCCCCAGCAATTCTGGCCTTTACTACCCGTTTCATGATTTTTCAGGATGCCTGAATTACCTTTTTTTTTTGGTCATTGAGATACAGCTTGCAACATGCTGATGAAGCCCAAAGCCCGAAACGCGTACGTGGTTAGCTTTTCTTGATTAATCAAGAATAGGTAATTGACCAATTTAGGAATAATTAGAAATCAACGAGAATAGTTGTTATTTATTCTGATAGATGGCGCAAGCCATGAGCAACTTTCAGTTGAACGATAAGGGAGATGCCTTTTTAATAATAATACATATATATATATATATATATATATATATATATATATATATATATATATATATGTTATATAAAGATATTATTTGAAATGTTATATAAAAATATTATTTTATTTTAAATATTATATAATTTCATAGATATAAATACTCTGTTTAGGTCGACCGCCAGAGGTCACGCTTTCTCTATAAATAATCATTGTTGTTCTTCCCCGTTAGTCGGCTCAAAACTTTTGTACATTATGTAAATAAGCTTTTATTTTTTATTCTTACGCCTTAAGCCAGGCAATACTTTTGTCAAATTATGTTATTCATATATATTACTCAGCTCAAATAAAGAAATCTATGATCTTCAATATTATTATTCTTTCAAGATTGTTCTACCATGACTGCACCACCATAGCATACAAATCAATATGATCCAAAACAACAGAAATCTTATTTTTTTAAATATAATAATAGTCGACAGGATATTTACCTGTTTATCTTTTAAAATCGAAAAAGCAAAATTTTCAAATTCAACTATGCAAATCCTTCGCCTAAAAATAGTTCATTTACTGATATGCAAATTCTTCTTCAATCAAACATAATCCTCTCCAATCAAAAATAGACATTTTCACCTACATTTCAATCATTTCAACCGAAAAAATAACCTACTTTAACAGGACATAGCCCACTACAATCAATCCTACCCATCTCCAAGCAAACATAGCCGCCACCATCTCAAGAATTTTCAAGCATCCTTCTCCCTTCCATCTCCAGCGATCACATCTTCCGCCCAACACCAGCCATCTCCCGAGATATTCATCTCCAGCCGGAATCATCCATTTCAAGGTACTTTGTATCTACCTTTTACTTATTTATCTCTTTTTAACTCTTTAATCCTCATTCATGTTTACAATAGTTTTCAATCGCATATTTGCTTAGATATATCCTTTTTGTCATTATTTTTATATATCAATTTTCCATTGCTGTTTTTGCCTTTTAAATAGAACCACACCTTTTTATCATTTTAAGCCTTATCTTTCTTCATATAATTATTTCCCAAACTATCTCCTTCCATACCTTACTATTAAATATTTACAATTAATTTAAACCATTTACACCCCTTTTTAACACAACACCATATGCAAAGCAGTTGGCCGGGAACACAACAACAACAAAATATGATATCTATTTCTCTCACATCTTCAATCTTTAATAAAAATTAAATCTTTGCTAATAATATTTCCATTATATATTTTGTTAATGACTACAATACCCTATAGTTTCACATTTCTATCTTATATTTGAAATTACCAGACTCTCTTTTAATAATTTGATATTTTTCTTATTTAATCCATTAAGTAATGTTTTATTTTCAAAAATTTTCATTTTTACTCCCATTGCTTATTTTCCTATATAAATATCCGAAAGCGTACCTAACTAATATGTAAATTTGGCGCGACCAACATATGTAAATTTCAGCTATTATTTTTAACCACCTTGATTCTTTTTTTCAATACCCATTCTTTATTCTTACCATTACCTTTTTTTTATTTACATGTTCATTCCTTTTTTTTTCACATTTTTTTTTTATTTTGTAGATAAACTTTGTCTCAACTTATTGCTTTTTTTTTCATAAATGCCTTTTATCATCAAATGTTTTTAGCATTGCCATATATCTTTTGCCAATTATTTTTCATATTGTTTTTTTCCAATTTTCTTCATATTATCATTTTATGCTTTGTAAATTTCATTCATTTTATTTTTCTTCCTCATTAATATTATATGTGTATTTATTTTGTCTATTTCCAATCTATTGGTTCACAACAAGCCAATACGATTATGGAAAACCACCTTTTCACTTCTGTAATTATAATTCATTTTATTTTCCTTCCTCAT